CCGTGCCCTCAAACCCTACACGCTGCGTATACTGCTTGCCTCTCCCACAGAAAGCTCTGTCTCGCCCGCTCCTGGGCCTGGAGCCCTTCCCCGTCCCCGGGGCCGCACCCCGGCTGCTCCGCTCTCTCCAGACAAACGTCAGGTGTCCGAGCTCTGAGCCCAAGCCTTGTCGTAGCATTGATGACAAGCCGTCCAGATAACGTCCGCTGTCACTGCTGACTAGTGGCTGTGGAGACCCGAGCGGGGCAGGCATGCGCGCGGGCAGAGAAACTTCTACCTGCGTGTAGTTCCACATTCTTTCCTACAAGACGATATGTTTGGGATCTCACATTTCTTTTACTAGCAAAACAGAGTTTTCCAAAATATACGTGTAGGTATAGAGAAGGCACAACGAAAGGAGAGAGCAGGTCCCACGGTGTTGAGTGTGTAAGCGGCACTGAGATGACCGAGCGGAGGCCCCATCAGAGTTTCTTGAGGATTCTTAAGTCCACAGTGATGCTCCGATCGCTCTCACCATCACTGATTTTGGCGGAAGCGTTAGTTTCTGTTCATTCTTTGGGCCTCATTTTATACACCATTTCCGCAGAGAATCCCTCCTTCACCGTCTTCAAGACAATGGACTGTCTGAGCCCTTGAGTGTGTGGCTAAACAACACCCCCCGGTCTGTGGCTCCTGCATTTTTAGTAAGCGTTAGGGGCCCCGTGCTCCCTGGATACGCGCTCCAGTGCCAAGCCGTCACTCGGAAGGGATCCGCTGCGTCTCCACCACGGGCCGAGGGCTGGTTCCGCAGTGGGTGAGTCCGAGCCTGCCCAGGCCTGTCCGCACACGGACACACGGGGAGCGAGCCCCAGGCGCGGAGGCCCCCCTGTTTAGGAGGCGGGAGTAGGGAAAGGAAATAACACGGAGCCAAGTGTTGAGGGCTGAGGGCTAAGGGCATCGGGACTGTCTAGAAGGATCAGAGGGAAGAATAAACTACAGGAACCAGAAGATCTTTCCAGAAAACTGCTGGGCCTTCTCAGTGGGACCCAGAAAGCTGTGGCCTCTGGGAAACAGCAAGAGAGCCTCAAGGCGCAGGGGCCTGCGAACGAAGCGAAAGAGGCCACGGAGGAAGCCAGGGCTTCCGGAAGGCCGCCACGGGGGCAAAATGTCCATCAGAGGCGGTAGATCTGAAAGGGACACTGACGCGAGTGGACACTTCACGAGCCACTTACCACGTGCAGAAAGGCCTGGGAGCCACGGCCGCGGGACCTGGGGCGGGGGGCAAACAACAGGCCCGGGCCAGGGGCCAGGTCTGGATGTGGGGGGCGTCCCTGGGGAAGACAGGACTGTCCCAGTCACCCCGATCCCGGCCACACACAGCTGGATGACCGTGGAAGGGCTCCCCTGCATTCAGAGGGACACCGGGGGAAAAGACGGCCCCCTTACACCCCGTGAAGAAACCCGCGCCCCACGAGCACGGGCAACCTCCAGTGTCCCCACGGAGAGCCCTGGAGCGCCCGCCACGGGACGGACTGCAGCCCGGCCCCCGGAGCGCCCCTCGCAGCCTTGAACCCCAAGGGACAGGAGCAGCCGCCCTGGAGGTTTCAGGAGACGTGCCACAGTCCGGGCCCCGAGCCTGTCACCGCTTGTTTGTTTGTCTGTAACGTGTGAACTCCCGTCAGGAGACCGCGCGCTGTCACGTGCCACAAAGCACACAGAACGTCTGCTGAGGATGGATGTGGATCCAAGTGCTTCTGCAGCCGACGGTGCAGCGAGCCCACTGCCGTGAAGGCCGCCCCCGACCCAGGCGGCCAGGGGACAGCGGGCAGCAGCTCAAGATGGCCGCCCGACCGTCACCTTCCCGTGGCCGCGCAGAGCTGGGCCACAGCACTCAGAACGAGACAGGCCTTTGTTCTTTTCCACAAACCACAAGGGCCCCCAAACAACCCAACAGCCTTAACATTTTTTTTTTTTTAAATGGTGAGGAGGCCAAGGAATTATAGTATGGAACTTTAAAAACCATAATAAAATGAATTGGGTTCCTTTCAATGGGAGAGACAAATAAACCAACCGGTGACAGACATGATTTGCCATTAACCACTCTACCCAGGTTGTTTGACATTTAGGACTTGCCAACACTCTGGGCCGCGGGGCCTGACCAGGAGGGGACAGTGAGCTCAGCAGATGAAGCAAATGCACAAATGTGAGGAAAGGCCACCAAAATGTGAAGTGATGAGCAATTGAGCTTTTTATTTTCACACACACACGCACACACGCCCGCACATTATGGATATACAGCAATCTATATTATGATCCACACTGAACAGAAATTATGCAATCAGAAAGTAAAAGGTAGTTTTTCTCCCAGAAAAGGAGGGTCCCGCAATGCTGTCCCCTGCTCCTGGCGGCCTTGAGCCTGTTCGAGGACCATCTATAGCTGCTCTGAAAAGACAAATGGTTTAGTTGCTTGAGAAAGATTGGGCCTCGGGAAAACTGCGTCTCTGGGAATTGAGGGGTGTGTGTGTGTGTGTGTGTGTGTGTGTGTGTGGGTGTGTGAGAAAGAGAGAGAGACAGAGAGACAGAGAGAGAGACAGAGATTTCTCATAAAGTGTTTGCTAAGTTATTTTGGGGGATGACCATTTGTATCTTGAGGTCCAACCATAAGACCTTCTGTGGATCCCCCCCCCCCAAGGCTGGGGGTCCCAAGGAGAGACAGCCTTTGGGACAAGCAGCTGGCTGCACCACCACCCCCTCCCAAGGAGGCACGTTGTTCCTAACTGGGAACCCTTTATAGCTGGGCCCGAGGAAGTTTTTGGCTGTAAACTGTCATGCACCGAAGCCTTCAGTGAAAAGGCTGCAGAGGGAGCCGCCCGTCCCGGGAACCAAGGAACAAAGATGGAGAGACCGAGGCACAGAAAGGTGGAGAGAAAGGATCCGGAGCGGAAGGCGCCGCAGCCCCACCAGCTCCTGGCGCTGGATTCGGGGCGTGGTCTGGAGCACTTCGGACGTTCTTTGTGGGGGGTGAACATGTCATTGCCCTGCTGGGAAACTTAACACTCTTTTCTGATGGGGTTTGTTCTTAGCGGGTCGTGCCCTCTCCTGTTTGTGGAACCAGCTGAACTCAAACCACAGTTCGGGAACGATCTGGAAACCCTTCATCATGGGCCAGTTCTACTGGACTTTGGGGGAACCACCAGCGACAGAGCTCCCGACTTAGGGGTCCGGGGTTGTTGGAAGCGCGCTGCTGACCTGGGGTTTCGGAGAGCCTCGATTCGGGGACCCCTCCCCCCTCCTGTCTCCCTCCACCTCACACCCGGCCTCTCCCCTTTATGACAAGTGCGGAAGCTCAGGCCGCAGAAATGACCTTTGAGACATTTTTATTCTCTCGGGAAAAGCGCTCACGAGCCCTCCGAGCCCCAAGGCCCGCGACTCAGGAGGGCCCGACTGTCAGGGGCAAATGAGGTCATTTAGGTGCCTCTTTCCAGAAGGAAAATCCCCCTCCCCTCCCCCCATCAGTCAGCCCCTTGGAATCCAATGCGTCCTAGACAACAAAAGAAACCGAGAAGCGGACAGGGACCAGGTGCGCCGGGCTTCCCGACTCTTCAGGACCCATTTGGAGAGGGGCGGAAAACCGGCCCTGGAAACGTGTTCCCTCCACCCCCGGGGGGCCCCCCAGGGCCGGCTCCCTCCCGCGGCGCGCCCCTGGCTCCCCGACCCCGCGGCGAGCCCAGCCGGGCGCCGGCAGGGAGGGGGTGTCCGGGGCGCAAGTCCCACGTGGTGCCGGGAGAGCCCCCCTCGCTCGGGCGCGCGGCTGTCGCGGGTGCGCCGCCCCGCAGACGCACTGCCTTCCCCGCGGGCCGCGGGGCGGGGCGCGCGAAGACCCGGGACCGGCTGGAGCCGCACGCGGGGTCAGGGCGGAGGCCCGGGTTCCGAGGCGCTCGGAGCGGCTCCCTCCTGCCTCCGGGCTCCAGGTTTAGGAGGAATGTTATTGTTTAAAGAGACCTCATTGAGCTACTTCCTGCTCATTGTCACCTTTCCTTCGCTCTCCTGGCGAAGGTTCTCGCCGAAAGGTAAGAAACCGCCCGCCCCCCACGCCCCCCGGGGGCCTAGCGGGGAGGCGCGCCCCGAACCCCGATCTCTGGGAAGCGCCCTGGCGGCCCCTCCCGCTCCCACCTTGCGCGGAAGCTCCCAGGTCCCATTCGGTGCAGGCGCAAACCGGGCATCGAGGTCGCATTTATACACCGCGGGCGGGGAAACTTCCTAAAAGGGCACATTTGGTTGATTTTGAGGATTTCCGTCTCGGGGCGCGGAGCGCGCCCCGGGGCAGAGGCTTGGGCCCCCGGGGCGCCGGGACTGGGGCGCGGAGCGACCCCGAGCGCCGAGCGTCGGGGGGACGCGTCGGAAGGGCACCCGCGAGGCGGGGCGGGGGCGCGCCCTTCCGCCGGGCGACCCCGGGCCGGCACCGGCGCGACGGCGGCCCCTCGGGGACGCGCGGGCAGAGGCGCGCCCCGGCCGGCCCCCCGGCCCCCCGCCCGCCCGCGGCCCGCCCCGCCGCTTTGATGGAGGTGCGAACGTTTGGGGGAGGGCGGGGCGCGTAGGGCCGGGCGCGGGCTCGCAGGAAGCGGGCTGGGAGCGCGGGGCGGCCCCCGGCGTCCCCAGCCCGCCGCGCAGGGTCTGAAATGGCCGCGAGCGGCCAATGGGCGGCGGCCCCCGCACTTCAAAGGGCGCGCGGCCCAATCCGCCCGCCCCCTCGCGGCCGCCGCGGCCCTATTTATGGGAGGGGACGCCGGGGCAGCCCCCGGAGACCTGCGCCGGTCGCGCCTCGCGGGAGTTCAAGTGGAAGAGCCTTCCCCCCACCCCTCTCCGCCGCCCCCTCCCCCAGGTCGAGGCCCTCGCCCCCCGCCCGGGGTCGGTGCCGGGAGCCCGGCGCCTCGCGGAGAAGCGGCCGCCGGCCGGGGTGAAGGTGGCTGTCGCGTAGCGGGTCGGGGATTCGGGGGCGGCGGGGAGGGGCGGGCGGGAGGATGAGCGCGCCGGGCGCGGAGAGCGCGGGGAAGAGCGCGCAGTACCGCGTGGACCACCTGCTGAGCGCCGTGGAGAGCGAGCTGCAGGCGGGCAGCGAGAAGGGCGACCCCACGGAGCGCGAGCTGCGCGTGGGCCTGGAGGAGAGCGAGCTGTGGCTGCGCTTCAAGGAGCTCACCAACGAGATGATCGTGACCAAGAACGGCAGGTGGGCGCGGGGTCGGCGTGCGCCCTGCCTCCTACCGCCCAGGGGGCCCTCGCAGCCGGGCGGCTTCTCGCTCCTTTCCGCTCGGCTCGGCCACGGAGCCCAGTGTCCCCCCGTCGTCGCTCTTCTGAGGTTTTCCCCGCGCAAGTTTGGGAGGGTCCCCGGGACACGCGCCTCGCGCACGCTTGCGCCCGAGCGGCGCGCGGAAGCCCCCCGACCAGGTCCTCCCCGACCCTGCCTCCCGGGGCCGTGCGCTTGCGTGGAGGACGCCCGGGGACCGAGGGGGGCTCTGGGAAGCCCCCAAATGGCAGATGCCGCTGTCCCAGGTGTTCTGCCTTCCGGCTAAAGGCTCCTCCCCGGGGGGGCCTCTGCGGCGCTCCTTCCTTTCCAGGAGGATGTTCCCGGTGCTGAAGGTGAACGTGTCCGGCCTGGACCCCAACGCCATGTACTCCTTCCTGCTGGACTTCGTGGCGGCCGACAACCACCGCTGGAAGTATGTGAACGGGGAGTGGGTCCCCGGCGGCAAGCCAGAGCCGCAGGCGCCCAGCTGCGTCTACATCCACCCCGACTCGCCCAACTTTGGGGCGCACTGGATGAAGGCGCCCGTGTCCTTCAGCAAAGTCAAGCTCACCAACAAGCTCAACGGAGGGGGTCAGGTAGGTGTGACGGGCCGCAGGGCCGCACCTTCCTCCCCGAGGAGCCTTGGACAGGCCGTGCTTGCTCCGAGGTGACATCTGTCCTGGAGAAACTGCCGCTGCCTCCTCAATTAGGCCTTCGGGGTTGTTTATAGTAAACTGATGATGGTAACACCAGGCCTGCAGTGCCGGGGGGAGGGTGCAGAGCTTCCCCTTTGACGTCTGGGTCTCCCGCTTTGGGGAACTTTTGCATTCAAGCCCTCGACTCCCCTAGGGGCAGAGAAAATATCAGCCTTGATCCGCAGTGGTCACTTTAGAGCTAAATATGTGCTACCTTGCTGCTGCGAGCTCTGAACACACTTGTAAACTTGTCATTTTGTAAGAATGTTTTTCCCTGGGGAATTTTCCCTGGGAGGACCCCCCCCCCCCCACGTTCAGGGGACGCACACACAAGCTCCGGCTTTTGTAAAGGTTTGCCACCATCCTGGAAGCGTTAAAACGTTACTCTGCAGGGTCAAAGGATTTCCCGATGGGCATTCACTGTCTATAACGGGGGGGTAGCATCTCACATTCTTTCCTTTACATCAGCAGCAGCTGGTGGGAAAACCAGCAGCTACACACCCTTGTGAGCGGCACTGCTCTCTCTGCACCTTGCTTGTGTTTTTCTCCCCAACAGCGGGGCCGTGGAAGTTTCGTTCTCTGAAGGTCTGCTTTGTGTGTGCTTCCCTTAGATCATGTTGAACTCCTTACATAAGTACGAGCCTCGGATTCACATAGTGAGAGTTGGGGGCGCCCAGCGCATGATCACCAGCCATTGCTTCCCAGAGACCCAGTTCATAGCAGTGACCGCTTATCAGAACGAGGAGGTGAGCAGCGGGGAGGGTGGGCAGTGCTCCCTCCGAATTCGCAAAGCCTACGGAGGCAGTGTGTGTTGGTGCTGGCGTATTTTAGACTGATAAATAAGACCTTTTCAAATAACCTACCATGAGCATAAAATTGGGATGGGGGAGGGGGGCGCCTGGGTGGCTCAGTCCGTAAAGTGGCCAGTTTTGGCTCCGGTCATGATCTCATGGTTTGTGGGTTTGAACCCTGCATCGGGTTGTGTGCTGAGAGCTCGGAGCGCAGAGGCTGCCTCAGTTCTGTGTCTACCTCTCTGCTCCTCCCCCGCTCATGCTCTGTCTCTCAAAAATAAAATAAATATTTTTTAAAAAATTTAAAAATTGGGACAGGGGAAATATTTAGACTTAGACCTTGATCAGTCATTTTCCCTTTATTTCTCTGCAAAAGTGTCTAAAACTGGCACCATCTACCAGATGGATCTATGGATGAAAAGAACAAAACAAAAGTTTTAGGTTAAGTACTACGAGAATTTCTCTCAGACAAGAGTGAGTGAGGGAGGAAATCTTTCGAAATCGTCCCCAACAGGACTCGGGGCGGCGGGGGGGGGGGGCGGCAGGAATCAGCAAGGTGCAAAATACCTGTCAGTGGCTCTAAATCTCTAAGGCTGAGCCCAAAGTACAGACATTTTGGTTTAGCTGGTTAAGTTGTCAGTGTTGACTACCAACCCAAAGTGGAAGTTCGCCCTTTCCTAAGAGGACCCAGTTATGTTCTGAGCCATGTTTGTTCGATTTTTGCACACAAAAGGTTGTCAGCAAGTGGGTTGAACTCACCGTGAATTCCGCTTAGAAAAGCAGCTTTTAAAAACTTTCATAAATGCACTGTTCTTTGTGATATGTTCCCATTGCTCAGCCGTGTTAGATCCAAAAAGAAAAATACACCAGAAGGAAGTCTGGTTATGTCTGAATAATTAAGAGACGCACTGATGTTTCCAAGTTCTCGGTCCCAAACTACATCCTCTGGCTGATCAAGAGGGTACCAGTAACTGTGAATTCTTGTTTTTCAGATCACAGCTCTTAAAATTAAATACAATCCATTTGCAAAAGCTTTCCTAGATGCGAAGGAAAGGTGAGAGATTTCTAACTTCTACTCTTTGGTAAAGAAACGTGCAGAAAGAGGACATACTGCTGCAAATGGAAATTTTCTTAAAGTCCTCCTTTTTGACAAATCGATGTATTTTTTTGGCAGAAGTGATCACAAAGATATGATGGAAGAGCCCGGAGACAGCCAGCAACCCGGGTACTCCCAATGTACGGTTTGTGGCACTCTGTCCCAGTGTCCCTTGTGCCAGGGACTAGGCTGCGGGGCCGGAAGCCAGAGAGGCGGCCCAGGGCGCGTTTCTGAGTGTGGCTGGGGAGCCTTGCAAGGCACATGGGCCCATGACGTTGAGGCTATGGTCTTCGCCCTCGCTCCCACTCGGAGGGCTGTGGGGGTCATTTGGTGCTTCGCACCCTTGACAGAGAATCTGGGGAGAACTTCCCGGGTTTTTCTGTTTGGCTGCGACGCAGCTCCAGCCATGGCTGGGTCGGATCGCGGGGGGCTTGGCGGGTGGCTAGACTCTGCCGTGCTGGGCAAGTGGAGAAGTCAGCTCGATAGACACGGTTTTTCTCTTTGTTGACCATGGAAGCCTGAAGGACCGTGTTCGGAAAGATGCGCATGAGCGGATGTGGTTTTCCCCTTAGCCCATTTCGGTTCCAGAAGCGGCCCGTCACCCGAGGCTGGTTTGGGTGGGGACGGTGGCTTGGAGGCCGGGGAGCGTGCCTCCAGTCCAGCCCCCTTTCCCGGTTGCATGAGGCAGAGCCCGGAGGTGCAGGCCCCCAGGGCCATCCGTCAGGAGACCGAGTTTTGTGCAGGTGTTCTCTGTGTACGGAGAAGGGGCTTGGATCTTAAGTAATTGGTCCCCCCTCCCTCCAACCTGGGGGAGAGAAAAGTTCATGTTTGCTGCCTCTTCCGGTGGCCGCGTAGACCAGCGTGGCTCATTCCGCGGACGCTCGCTGTCTGGTCTATTTCTTCGTTAATCCTCTTCGCGGCTAACGACACGCACAGCTCGCGGAGCGCGGCTCGCGCACCGCCGCCACTCGGCACACCTGGACCTTCACTCATGTAAATGCCGTCCGAGGAATCGTTTGTGGCTTGGAAATTAGAGCCAGAATAGTTGTCCCTTTAGAGGTGGCTCTTCTGAAATTTTTTTTTTTTTTTAAAGAAGCCTTAAAAACCAGTGACTGGAGAAGAGATTGGAGGGTGAGAGGTGGGCTGCGTGTGGAGGGAGGGACCCTGATGCACAGCGGGGAGAACCTTGAGACTAAAAGCAGAAGAAAAGTGGGAAGAAACCTGGTCCAGAGGGGGCACAGCTCCTGGGGGGCGGCGGTAGGAGCAGGTGACGGGAGGGGAAGGGGTGCAGCGCGCGCGAGTCGCCCGGTGTGTCTCCAGCGTGTCCGGCTTTGAGCTTTATCTGTTTCCACATTTTCTCGGGCTCCGCAGTTAGGGCCTGGAAGCTGACGGGCCGCCGAACTTTCTGGGGGTTGAGCAAGAGTGGCTGAGGAGGCAGGGGCATTGGCCGTGGGTGGGGCCCCCCGCGCTGCTCAGTAGGCGTGGGGACCTGTGGCCCCTCACGTGTGGGGCTGAACCCGGATGCCTTAGGACGTGGCCTGGGGACTCAGTGTTGGACACTCGGAGTCCTTCCTTCATCGGGACCCCTGGGAAGACACCCACGGTTTCCCGGTCTCGCTCTCTTGTCCTTTAAATAATGGAGGTAATGCAAATGCCAGTTACTCAGCATTCTTTTCTCACAGCAGGGGGGTGGCTTATCCCTGGAACCAGCACCCTGTGCCCGCCCGCCGCCCCCCACCCTCAGTTCGGAGGCCCCCTCTCGCTTCCCTCCACGCACGGCTGTGAAAGGTACCCCGCCCTGAGGAACCACCGCCCGTCGCCCTACCCCAGCCCTTACGCGCATCGGAATAATTCTCCAAGTAAGTTCTAAGTCCGAGCAGGCCCGGGTTTGGGGGTGGATGGAAGACCGCTCCCGGAAAGGCACCTGTGGGACAGATTCCGGAGGTCGGGGTAGGAGAATGTCCCCTGGAGCACAGCCAAGCCAGCGCCCTACTGGCTCAAGACGAACCTTTATTGCACACCCAGGCCACTGCTGGCTTCACAGCGAAGGTGTGAGGTCCGGACCCGGACCAGGGGGCTTGAGGTGCCGAATGTGGCCGTTTCTCCCGAACTTGGGTCTATCTTAGGGCCCTGGTTTGGACCTTTGATGAACCTGTCTGAAGATGATGATGGGGCAGATCAGCCTAAGACTTACTGGCTGAACTAGACCCACGCGTGATTTTCTGTGATTCTCCCAAGTGGGGCGCTGGGGCCAGCAGTGTGGGCATCACCTGGAAACCACCCCACGCTGACCGAGTCAGCAGTCTTCCAGCTGACCCTGACGCGTGCTCAGGGACTGTGAGCACAGGGCCCGACCATTAAGGTCCCTCTCCCTAACTCCCTCAAACACCGTGCGCGGCTAGACTTCATATTGTCTGGTTCTAAAAAGAGGAACATAGCTAATGAACACCATAAAACAATTAAGCAGTTAAAGCTGATTTGAAACGAAAGGAGTTTATCTGGGCAAGAAATAGTCACTGGGACTTGTTCAAGCAGAGGCCGGACTCCGAGATTTGAAGATCATACTTTAGTTTTGTCCAGAGCAAGTGTTTCTAAAGTCCTTCCAAATCTTCAGAAATGATGTTTTGGGGAAAGACAGGTTAAAGTTACATTTATTTTTATTTAAAAATTTTTTAATGTTTTATTTATTTATTTATTTATTTTTAATGTTTTATTTATTTCTAGGAGAGAGAGAGAGACAGCGTGAGCAGAGGAGGGTCAGAGAGAGAGGGAATCACAGACTCTGAAACAGGCTCCAGGCTCTGAGCTGGCAGTCAGCACAGAGCCCGACGCGGGGCCCGAACCCACGAACCGCGAGATCATGACCTAGGCGAAAGTCGGACGCTTAACCGACTAAGCCACCCGGGCGCCCCAATGTTTTATTTATTTTTGAGAGACAGATGGAGACAGCATGAGCAGGGGAAGGTCAGAGAGAGAGGGAGACACAAAATCCAAAGACAGGCTCCAGGCTCTGAGCCAGCTGTCAGCACAGAGCCCGACGCGGGGCTCGAACCCACAAACCACGAGATCATGACCTGAGCCGAAGTGGGACGCTCAATCGACTGAGCCACCCAGGCGCCCCTATTTTTATTTTTAAAGATAATTAGCCCCTAGAGAGCTTGGGTGGCTCAGTCAGTTGAGCGTCCCACTTCGGCTCAGGTCATGATCTCGTGGTTTGTGGGTTCGAGCCCCGCGTCCGGCTCTGTGCTGACAGCTGGCTCAGAGCCTGGAGCCTCCTTCAGATTCTGTGTGTATGTCTCTCTCTCTCTGCCCCTCCCTGGCTCACGCTCTGTCTCTCTCTCCCTCCAAATATAAATAAACATTAAAAAAATTTAAAGATAATTAATCCCCAATCAAGTGATTGTAGGATTCCATTTCTTCAGGGCATTCTTGATCTAAAGGTAAAGAAAAAGCTTGGGTTGACTAGAATGTATTTTCCAATATATACATATGGCCGTAAATATTTGCCTCTGATGACCAGTGAAACGGGCCAGTGGATTGTCTCCTAAGTTCCCTAGCCCACACACGTTTTGGTTTTGGCGTTGGGTAGCTGCCGTCGGCGGCGGTATGTCACTGCTTTCTGCTACTTTGGGAAGATCGCACCCCTAACGATGCCGTCTTACGTCCGCAGCCTATTCAGACAGTCCGTCTGCATGCTTGTCCATGCTCCAGCCCCACGACAGCTGGCCCAGCCTTGGAACGCCGGCCCACAGCAGCGTGCTGCCCTTGGCCCACGGCGCCGGCCCGCCCGCGGCCTCCAGGTAACGTGTGTAGCCGCTGTGCGGCGGGTCCTGGCACTCTGACGTGACCTCCTGCCCTTTCCATACGTTGGTCTGTATTCTGCCCCTCGCCTGTGGGTAGCTGGGCCGCTGTGTGTAGCTCTGCCGCTCACCCGGGCATCCCAGGTGGCCTGCCGCCGTGTGGCATGGAGTGCGCGGTCGCAGGGAAGCCAGGGCCCCCATTCTGCCTCTGGCACTAAGGACATCCTGCAGAGGACAAATCTCTTAAACTCTCTGAGGCTCGTTTCTACAAGAAAAGGATGCTCAGTGACCCCATCCTCAGCTTGTCTTTACAGAGTTGGGGTCAGCAGGCATAATTTGAGGAAATGTTTCTAGAACCTTTCTTTTTTTTTTTTTTAATTTTTTTTTAATGTTTTTTATTTATTTCTAGGACAGAGAGAGAGAGACAGCGTGAGCAGGGGAGGGTCAGAGAGAGAGGGAGTCACAGACTGAAAAAGGCTCCAGGCTCTGAGCTGGCAGTCAGCACAGAGCCCGACACGGGGCTCGAACCCACGAACCGCGAGATCATGACCTAAGCGGAAGTCGGACGCTTAACCGACTAAGCCACCCAGGCGCCCCTCTAGAACCTTTCTTGATAAGAGCTGTTACAATAAGGAAAAAATTTAGTTGGCTTTTCTCTGGATACAGGACCAAAGTCCTTAACATATATGCTGGTAACTAACTAGTAAAGAGCAATGAATATTGTATTATTAACTTGAAAATAATGTAGAGGGAGATTGGCCTAAGACATCAAGCTGATTGCTAACCATATTGTACGGGTTTTCATAGGAATATTATAAAAAACTAAGACAAAGTTAAAAGTCAGCTCTCATCTTCTACCCAGGAAACAGGGTCGGAGATATTAAATGATTCGGCAAGTTGTCGGCTGACAATAGCGTGAGTCTGTTAGACAAGTTATCTTGACTTCGAAAGCAGTGTAATTCATTATATTCAGAATACCGTAGTATGCCTCAGATCTTAATTCTTTTGTCTAGGAAATAATTCCTTTATAATAAGACCTAAGCGTCTGTTTGTAAAAAAATAAAGCAAACAGTGATTTAAAGTGCGCAAAGCAGCCAACTTTTTAAGGGCGGGAAGGTCGCTTAGAAACTGGCACATAAATGGAGTCACCTGCAGGTTACAGACCCCAGGCGGTGGGGGAGGGCGGGGGTACAGTACCATTCGAATTGGGCATCTCAGAGCCATGTTTTCTGTCTTTAAAATGGGGACAGTAAACGACTGCCTTCAACTCAGGTTTGATTTCAAGTTCAAATACATCTGAAATACAGGACGTGGCTTGGTAACAGCACAATATAGAGTAAGGTCTCCTTTATTTATATAGAAAGACATTTTCTCAGAACAGTTTCAGCAGAGCTGAAACCTGCTTAAGTCTATGTTCCCAGACTGAAGGGTCTAATACCGGCTTCCAGCCGCTCCTTCCACGGACTGGGAAGCAGGACTTGGTTACAGGCCAGTGTCCTTGCCGCCGCCAGTGAAGGGCAGGGTTCTGGGTCTGCCGCCCAGACCTGTTCTTCCCGCCCTGCAGGCCGGTGTCGCTTCCCAGGGCGAGGGGCAGGGGACGGTGTCTATTCGGAGTCGCAGTGAGGAGCACCTTCCAAACCACCATGTTTCGGGGGGGTGTTGTCTGCCTCGCCAGGATCAGCACGGTGGGTGGGGGCGTGCGGAAGCCCACGCTCTGAAGCATCTGGTTCCGGATATCTGGGCATGTGGGGTTCTGGACAAGAGCGCGGAACTGCCAGCCTGGCGTCCTTGATGGCGAGGGTTGCTGGTGCTCCGGCAGGAAGCGTGTGCACACACGACCTCAGTCTGGTGGGAGCCGTGTGCACACGTGACCTTCTCAGTCTGACGGGAGCCGCGTGCACACGTGACCTCCCCAGTCTGGCGGGAGCCGCGTGCAGGCACACACGACCTTCTCAGTCTGTCTCCCATAACTGTGTTTCCTGTTGACAGATGTTCCCGGAATGTGTGCACACCTCAGGGTGTGGTTTACTCACAGAGCAAGGGGCCTGCTTGGAGGACCCCGTCGAGTGCGCTCGTCGGAAATCGGGTCGTTGTTCCTCCCGCAGCTGGTCTGGGGCCTCGCTCCAGGTCTGTGCCTGACTTTTCCACTTCTCCCTTTCAGTCAGTACCCGAGCCTGTGGTCCGTGAGCAACGGCACCGTCACGCCTGGCGCCCAGACGGCGGGGATGTCCAACGGGCTGGGAGCCCAGTTCTTCCGGGGTTCATCCGCACACGCTGCGCCTCTCACCCACCCGGTGCCGGCTTCCCCCTCCTCGGGATCCCCGCTGTACGAAGGGGTCCCCACGGCCACAGACATTCCCGACAGCCAGTATGACGCCTCGGCCCAAGCCCGCCTCATAGCCTCGTGGACCCCCGTGTCCCCACCTTCCATGTGAACGGTGGCCTGCGTCGTAGACACTTCGCTGTGGTGGCCACGAGCGTGGATTTGATCGATCTCCCAGGTACCACGGTGGCCGCTCCTGGGTCAAGGGAAGGAAATAGGGCTTGTCACCCAGCCCTTAAGGGGAGGGACACGTGTCCTGCTGTTCTCGGGGGTGCCGAGCCCGCCGTGCGCACCTGCAGTGAATTCTGCAGTGGGCGAGTTGGCCGAATCTACCACGGTTCACAACCAGCAGCGTTTGCTGGGGTCAGAAGCACGTGCCCAGCACGTACGTGACCTGGCCCCCACCAGTCCTACTCGGGCAGGAGAGAAAGCACACTCAGTTCTCTTCCCTGTTGCTTTGGAGGACTTCCCAGACCCTCTGTGGCGGCCGTCACAGGGGGGCCTGCGCCGTGAAGGACAGAATAACGTCACAGCCGAGGACAGCAGATTGTAGTTGAAACGCAGGCCAGCCCGCTCTGCCCACTAGAATGTGTTCGTTTGGAGCATAGGTAGTTAATCTGTTGTGTTGTTAAGCCTATGATTGTGTACACTTGTCATTTAAGTGGCCAAAGACAATCAGCAGGAAACCGTTTTCTGCAAAATAAAGGCAATATCCAAACTTGGTTGGTCTGGTTGTTATTCAGACTCCTCTTTTTTTTGGGGGGGGGCGAGATTCTGGGAGAGCCGGTGGCAATGACCTTGACCCCAAGGGGCATTGTAATCTGCTGTGAACTCTAGTACTTCATCTAACGCGCTGCAAAACTGGACGTGGACTCTGCGTGTGTTCACACGTCGCGAATTACCACAAAAATGCAAAAGATGATAAATGACTTTCCCGAGATTTCGGGAGTCAACACCCCGTCGTGGAGGAAGGCAGCATGGAACGGGAAAGACGGCAGGAGATGGCCACCCGATCCAAGCACAAGCGCTGACACGAAGTGACGTGTAAACCGTGTGGCATTTGTAAATATCTGCCCCGCTTGAATTCCCAGCAGAGAAGCAGACGGTGCTTGCGCTCGATTGGGGCCCTCTCTCCATCTAGCGGCTGAACCCCTATTTTGATGCTGTATATTTGAGCCCCCTATTCAGATCCTCTGTTGGGTAAGTTACAGATGGTCAGTCCATCGGAGCTCGGCCAGTCAGGCGGTGGCACTGTGGATACGCGCGGGGTCGTGGACATTAGAGGTGGAGAGGGATGAGGCAGAGGGGCTAAGTAGTGGGAGAGGTGTTCTTACAAGCCAGCACCGCTAACCTACTCCCTCCCGTATTGAACTCTTCAGTTGTCGTTGCCAGGGGCTCAGCCCAGGGCTGGGGCTTCCTTCGGGTCCTCCGCTATTTCTAGGACGTGATAATCCATTTGCCATGCTGAGTGTGAACCCAGAACGCAGTGCAAAGGGCTGAGTGTTTGGTGCACGTGTGCCTGCTTTCCAAGGGGGACACGGTCCTCCTCTACTCTTTGCCCCCAGTTTTTCTCGATTTCGTCACCACTGGGTTTTCTAGCTGCTCACCTGCACACCTGCCCCAAATCAGAAGATTTACTGACAAATGTGTTACAAAAATAATTTTTGAATAAGCCACTGCCTAAGGAGAAGTGGGAAGTGAAACGGGCCATAGTCTGCACGGTGGCTTCTGCCCAGCAGACGCGGGGTCTGCTGGAGAGAGGCTGGGCTTTGAGGGAGTGGAACGTCCCTTGGGATCCCCAAAACTTGCCCTCCCCTGTAGCCGCCTGCTCCGTGATGGCTGGTGTCTTGTCCCCCAGGACTGACCTGAGGGGACAAGAGGGGCGTGGGTGGAGGGTTCTTGAGGTCATGTTCCTGGGGCACAGCCTTGCCCCATGCTGGGCGCCGCAGGGAGACTGAGTCACACGGCCCTTTCTCCAGGGGCCTCCGACTCTGGCCAGGGAGACTGATTTGACATGTAGAAGATGGACAGGGTCCTGACGTGTCTGAGTCTCTAAAGGTGACCCGCGGTTCAAATTCAGGGAATTAATACGTAAATAACCAGGGTTTTCTGGTCGTGCAGGGGCGGTGGCAACCATGGACCGCAAAGATCCCACAGTTTGGTGCAAAAGACCTGGGTTTCAGTGCTCATCTGCCTCACCTGCTGTGGGACCCCGGGAGAGTGAGTTGCGCACTCTGGAAATTCAAGTTCCTTATCTGTGAAGATGGAGAAAGAACGTGCTTGTCTGTTAGGGTTGTTGTGAGAAATGAAGAGTAAAGGTGTTGGAAAGTGGGGGGAAACAGTGATGTGGGCTGCGGCATCATAGATAAAATTCTAGGCCAATAAAACAAATAGTTGCCCACCTCTACTTACAGAGCCCGTAGAATAAGGAATTGCTGCATATCAGAAGCTTCTAGTCAAGATCCTAGGCCATCTGTCCTAACTTGGGGTGCAAATTGCTTTCTTATCTGGAGCAAAATTCCTAGGAATTATTTCTCTACAAACATTAAGGTAGGCTCTCAATTATTCACAGACAAAAAAATATACAGACCAATATTTGAAAGAAATTGTACAATCTGAACCCCTTGTCTGTGAGTTATGGGGGGGGACTGACTGACCCCTGTGTGTATATAAGGTTAAAATGATCTTCAGAAACTGTTCTCTACAACTTTTAATGTATGTGGCTGGATTATTTCATTATATCTTTATTCTTTTGAGGGGAAGGTGGTGGTGATAGGGATTATGACTCCCAAAAAGAAAAATACTTTTTGGGGTGCCTGGGTGGCTCAGTAGGTTGAGCGTCTGACTTTAGCTCAGGTTATGATCTCATAGTTCATGGGTTCAAGCCCCACATTGGGTGCTGACGGCTCAGGGTCTGGAGCCTGCTTCAGATTCTGTGTCTCCCATTTCTCTCTCTCTGCCCTTCCCCCACTCATGCTCTGTCTCTCTCTCTTGTCTCTCAAAAATAAACACTGAAGAAAAATACATTTTGAAATTAAGTTAATTTTTTTTTATTTTGAGAAAGAGAGAGCGTGTGTGTGTGTATGCACAGTCAGGGGAGGGGCAGAGAGAGAGGGAGAGAGAGAGAATCCCAAGCAGGCTCTATGCCTTCAGCTTAGATCCCAGTGTGGGGCTTGAACTCATAAATTGTGAGGTCATGACCTGAGCTGAAATCAAGAGTTGGATGCTTAACCAACTGAGCATATTTGGTTGAAATATGTATTTAAAAGATGAATGTGTAATGAACATATTCCTGCTCAGGAATAGGAGTAAGTGAAAGAATTCTGTCTGCAGAAGGTTAAGATGTTGCATCTGTAATCAGGCTAAAATTACAGCCAACCGTAAAACTAGAAGCTAACATAAAGTTAATGAGATCTAAACCCCCAATTCTATTTTTTTTGGCATAATATTATATATTTTTTTAGACTGTGTTATTTCAGGACACTTGGATGGCTCAGTCAGTTGAGTCTCAGACTGACAATGTGGGGCCTGCTTTGGATCATTTCTTGCCCCCTCTCTGCCCCTCCCCTGCTCGCTTGCGCTCTCTCTCTCTCAAAAATTTTTTTTAAAAAATGTGTATCCCACATTGGAAAATTACAGTGCCCAGAAATGAAGACACTACATTTGGATTCTGGTGCTAGGCCCAGAAACTTACAAGTGATTTGTGATTAAAATCCTTTCTTCTCAGTTCCCAAAGCTATGGTTTCGAGAAAAAAAACATATTTTTTCTTATATTTAAATATGTTTATAATTTTAATGTTTTTCTTATGAAAAAGAAGAGGCTAAATGACCACTTTTTCTGGTTTAAAAAAATAATAATTCCAGGGGCATCTGGGAGGCTCAGTGGGTTGAATGTCCAACTCTTAATTTCAGTGTAGGTCTTGATCTCAGGGTCGTCAGTTCAAGTCCCATGTTGGGATATGCGGTGGATGTGAAGCTTACTTAAAATAAATAAACAAATAAATAATAATTTAAAAAATAAAATGAAATAAAATAAGATAAATCCAAATTAGAAATGAAATAATTATAAAACTATGATAGCATTAGTCTGCAAAAGTTAATATTTTATAAAATAAATTTTATATAAAAATAATAATAGTGCAGTGTGGGTTTATAACATGTTTAAGCAAATACATGACAAATAGCTTTCAGGTCGGAGGAGAAGGAAACTACACTAGTGTGAGGTTCCCACACTAACTAGAAGGTGATGTTATACCACTGGGGTGTGGATTGTGGACCAGTGGAAGGTAACTGCCATCAACTTGAAAGCAGCCATGAAAATAACAAAGAATTGTAGCTCACAAGTCAACAAAAGAGATAGAATGGAATTATAGAAAATATTCAATTCCGGGGCACCTGGGTGGCTCAGCCAGTTAAGCGTCTGACTTCGGCTCAGGTCATGATCTCATGGTTCATGGGTTCAAGCCCCGTGTTGGTTTCTGTGTTGACAGCTAGGAGCCTGGAGCCTGCTTTGGATTCTGTGTCTCCCTCTCTCTGTTGCCTCCTCTGCTCATGCTCCGTCTCTCTCTCTTTGTCTCTCAAAAATAAATAAACATTAAAAAAAAAAAAGAATCTGTTTTATCCAGAACTTGAACCCTTCAGGGCAGCACTTTGTCCCATAGGCTACCTTCTGGGCCAATTGAAATGCTGTGAAGTTTATTCAGCGGAAGAAAGCAACCCAAAAGATACCAGGAACGTTCATTCGAGGTGCACGGGAGGAAGGAGGATCGCATCATAGCGGAGGACGGAAAAAGCCCCCCAGGAAGTGTAGAGGCAGAAGCGATTGAAATGTTCGAAGAGGCTTTCCGATTATTGGCAGGGGTGTTGCGTTTGGGTCCACATGGCAGTAGACAACAGAAGACAAAGGACAGCCATTGAGTTTGAGAGGACTTGATGGTAAACGTTAGAATATTAAAAAAGAACGTGAGAGAAATAGCAACATCTCTATGAGAAATCTAGAAATGAAACACAACTTTCTGATGGAGTCATTTGGCTCATCTCTGGAAAGACAAAGCAGAGGGCTTAGAGGAACCCATCTGTAGCTCGTAAAAATGTGGTTGCCTTTGAAGGTAAGAGTCAACCACTAATAAAAAAGGACATGAGGCTAGAAAGTCAGAAATCTACAGAAATGCTATAGGGGTCTAGAAAGAAGTCTTTAAAACTGAAGAAGGGAAAATAATGAGGAAAAGGGAGGTCAAATAGGAACTCTCGGGCTCAGGAGAATAAGTCAGACTACCAAGGGCGTGGAGAAAATATAAGAATATGTATCAGAACATTGGAAGGGTGTATCAGACCTCAGAGAGCCTCGAGCCGTTGTTGCTAAGAACAGAAGACTCAGCGAGCTACATTCAGAGCTCTGAGAACAGAGGGACAATATCGGACAGCTCAGGACGACTCAGGAGACACTTTTCTTCTATTGAGGATGAAAATGGACTGCCCTCCACCTGAGCTCTCCAGGTAGGAACACAGAAAGCAGTGGAATGTTTCAGGTGATACTGAGCTGGCTGGTCACCAGAGCGAGAGGGTAAAAATCGAAGACCTGAACGTTGAGTTTCTCAGTGAGTTCTGTGGGCAGGAAGACCTGGCCTTGTGGGGACAGCTGAGTCTGCAAGACTGTGAGCCAGAG